TATTTATATATGTGTGTGTGTACGTACTGTATATACTTCATATACACCTATGTATCTTTTCTTCCTTTGGCACATTCTGATTCTTTTTGAATATTTGAGCTCTAACGGGTAAATTGCTCCACTGTAAGATCAATAAAATCAATCAATTATCTGAGCTATCTGCTGCATTTCTAACAGATGAATCACAGTTACGATGTATCCAATAGCACTTGAACGCACCTGAAGGCTGATAGTTTGTTTTGCTTTAATGGGAAATCACCCTCTCTTCCAGCAGATATACCCACAGGAGCAAATACCCACACTGCCAGGAAAATGAGTTATGTACATTTCTGCCTCAAAACATATGCAAAACGTTTACCTTTAAAAAATAAAATAAAATAGGAAAACCCAATTTTTACACTGAGAAAATATATTTTAATAAAATCAACAAACACTTGGTTTATACAAACCTACATCTCAAAAAAGTATTAGGAGGCAGCTTTACATCAGATATTGAATGAATGTGGGATATCATGCAACTCCAGGAGTGGGTCCTCTTTGGGATACTTCCCACATCCTGACGTCAGCTGGATTGAAAGTTTTCTCCCTTTTCCAGCTTCCAACAGACGCATTCCCTAATCTGCTCCACACCAGAGATTTGAGGTAAGCTGGAAACCTGGGACCTCTGCAATCTTGTTGTAATAATAATTAGTCATTTGTTTCAACACGTTTTATTGTTAAGGTGTAAGTCTTAGTTTCCAGCTGAAACATTGGGGAAAGATTTAAAGCCCAGCCTGCTGTTTTCCTCATGTTACAGCACACAGCATTCCTGCCTCTGTGTTTTGTAATGCAGACTTTCTGTTCACTGAGAGAACTGCAAAAATGCTGGACTCATGGAGCTCTCTGCTTACATCTAGATTAGATTCATATGGACTTTGCAGATTATTCCCTAACATTGCTTTAAATTATTGGAGTACCAAATATGAATAATGTTATTAATTCACTTGTAGGTGAAAGGATTAAGACTTAAAGCTCCAAGAAAGTTGCATTCATTTGGGAAAGAACTCTTTATTTTCATCAAGGAGAAGAACAATAAGGTTATGGTGCTTTATTTAGAAATTTCCTCTCTTTTGTTGAATCTGTGAATCAGTTGGTTTAAACATTCCTCAACATTTTTATTTTTGGCTCTGTGCTTTATTTATTTTTTCCTCATTAAAAAAAGGAACTGGAAAGCTTTATAAAGGGTGTTGCAGGTACTGTATCTGCTTCATCATTCAGCACGGTTGGGATTAATCAATAAAGCCTGGATTAAGGGAGCTAAAACGAGGCTAAGATTAATGTTGTTGAAGAATATTTGGAAAACTAAAGGAAACTTTTTCCTATTAGAAACTGTGCAGTAAAATATAAAAATATTTAAAAAAACATTTGTAAAAAAAACTTTTTTTTAAATGTTTATTGCTTTCAAACGTGAAATGTTTTAAAAATTCAAACTGAGTTGAACTGATAGGCGTTTGAATTTTTATTGTTGCAAAACTTTTACATAATTTATTCACACCTAAAATGGCTTTTAGGAAGGATCAGCTCTTTTTTTCTGTTTTTGTTTGGTTCCTGTCGTGCTTTAGAAGTCCCTTCTGTCTTCAACAGTTGTCAGGTCCTGTGTGCCTGTGCTGTTTTTGGATCCACCCAGAGCTTTGCGTGCCAGACTCCCCCTGTTTCATTGTTGGCTCTATTTAATCTTAAATTGTCTTTATTCTTCAGGTCCTTACTCCAAACCTTCCTTTCTTGTATTTTTCCATGTCACTTTTATTACATTCCTTGTTTTCTTCCTTTTTCCCTCTTTGTGTCATTCATTCCTTTCCTCCTTTCCTTGCTCCCTTTGTTGTGTCCTTTCTTTCCAACTGTATTCCCGTGTCCCTCCATATTTTTCCTTCCTTCCTTCCTTCCTTCCTTCCTTCCTTCCTTCCTTCCTTCCTTCCTTCCTTCCT